ACACACAAACAACCTGGGTTTTTTAACCTAAGTCACTCCACGGAATCAACTAAAACATAGAGCATAGTCTGATGAAAAAAGACGCCAAAGTTTATGAAAACAAAATTTTATCGTCAAAATGCTTATGTTTTTTATGAAGAGGATAGACTAAATTTTTTTAAATTATTTTTAAAAATTTTTCCATCTTTTTAGAATATTCTAAATTTTGATTTAAAAAACCTTGTTTCTCTTGTCGCAAATAAGGGGTAGTAAATAACAGATAATTTTAGCGTTTTTTTTTGTATTTACACATTAATTTGGAAAATCTTGCAATAATAAAAATAATTGTCAGATGTTAATGAAACTTTCAGAAACTATTCACAGATGATCGAAATTATTATAAATATGTTTTTTTTTATTAAAGTCATGGCAGAAATATTTTTTCTTATATTCATTAACACCCCCGTAACTAATTTTATGAAAAACTCTAGAAATTCGAGACCATCGGTTTTAGTGATTACAATAGTTAAAAGCACAAGGCTTTGAAGAATGCAAATCATGTTTTTTTTTTTTTTTTTTTTTGGCCAACGTACCTGAAAATCAGCTGTGAATTGTAACATACAAAACTCAATAAAACAAATATATTATTTAGTTTCAAGTGCTTTTATTTGTTTTAATTTATTTTTATGAATATGGACAATATTTTCTGAAAGCAAAAAATTTTTTCAATGAAAATTGAATTTTTAATACAATTATTTCTTATTTCTTTAATTTTAAAAAGATTTTTTAAAAATGTTTAAATTGAATTTAAAAAAATATTTTAACATTAGTTAAAAGCAACATCAACCTTTCAAAATGTCCGTGTGAGATTGTCATTGTCTAGCGCTTTGAAAATTGTATAATTTGGACCAATCAGATTAGCCATGGTAATTAAGAAATGTAATTTTTGTGTTTATAGTCGGACAGTAATTATCAAGTACGGAAGACCAACCAGAATACAATTTAGTTGCATTATTTGAGTTCAGCATTGTTCTCCGCTGTTAAGCCGTTTACTTTTTTAAGAAACACGTATGGAGAAGTTAATTTGAGTTTTCAATTTCAACTGAGAAGGGTATCTACAAGTAACAGTATCATCTTATGAAATTTAACTACTGCTAAACTTTAATTTATATGATCTTATTTTTATATTAATCTCAGTTATGACATTTTTCCATAAATGAAATATCAAACAAAATGAATAATAAAATGAATGGAAATACAAATAACACAGTAAAATGTAATAAATGTACATAAAATTATAGTATTTTATGTACCCTTTCTGAGAAAATTTCATGAGAAAGGTACCTAAATTAATTAGATACCTTTTTCTTATGAAATTTAATCTCACTATTAACAGTCTTATTTTATAATTTCTTTATATTTTCCATAAAGCATCGTAAACGTAAAAATGAAAGCTAAGTACAAAAAAAAAAAAAAAATAAAAAAATTAGAGCGCTGAAAGTTTTCCTTAAAAGTAACAAGGTAAATAATTTGTTCACTTAAATAATTTCACTTCCTTCCATCCGTAGAAAGAATTCTCCTCCTGTAAGTTATCTAAACGTCATGAATGTGCCTTTCGTCAATCGTCAAGCGACGCGAAAGGTTATGACCTGCTTTGTTTTATTTTCAAATTACATTTTTTCGGCGCAGAAGCTAAGTTAAGCTTGGTTCAAAATATTTTAAATAAACAGTATAATTTCTGTTTTATTAAAATCAGTTTTGAAAAAATGATAATTGATTTTTAAAAGAATATCAAAGTAAGATTTTAATCTTTTTCATCAAATCGAAAAAAAATGATTGAAAATGATTATCTGTCCTTTTTTTACCAAAAAAAAACAATATTTTTAACGAAAATTTCAGACGTGCTAGGAACGATTAAAAATGTAAAAAAAATACCCCAAAATACTTTGATCTTTCCTCTTTAATAATAATATGAACATTAGACGATAAAATTGTTTTCGTCAAGTTCGGCTTTTTTTTCATCATGCTATGCTCTTTTGTTTACATTTTCGTGGGTGAGTTGTCCCCCTTTCATTCTCACGATGTGTCTTAATCGTGATTTCAAATTGATTTTATTAAAAAACAACTGTGTTTTTCCCATTTTCGGCCCCGTTAGAACCACCACAAGGTAATTTTATGTAGTCCTGTGAAGTTTTGTTGAAATCGGCTAAAAAATGTAGAAAATTCGATCCAACATATAAACGTTACAGACACACACACACACACACACACAATCTGCGTTTTATAATAAGTATGATGTGTGTGTGTCTGTGTGTGTGTGTGTGTGTGTTCAAATCCACTATAACTGAGAAAATAGAAAAGTTCAGAGCAGATAACATTAGAAAGTTTTTAGACGGCCATGAAGATAAGTGGATTGTGCCTAAAAACGCTCCATCCAGACGGGCTTAGTCACAAATTTAACAACATAGATAGAATTAATATGTAACCCCACAAATCAGGCCCTACCCACATTTCTCACCCACACGACAGACATGCTTACGGAGGTGTTGAGGCCACACATTTATAAACACGCCCATACCAATATACACACACACATCATACTCACTCATTCCCTAATGAGCGAAATGATAACACGCACCCATAGTAATATACACACTTACACACATTATACTCACTCACTCCCTAAGGACCAAATAACACACACACTTAACAGAGACACATCCCCTTTCCAGAAACGAATAAAACTATTAAAATGACCAAGGGAATTCAGAGCAGTATGAATCCATCCAGCCCTTATCTTAAATAACAACTTAAAAGAGACTGTTTGACCAACACAAGGTCTGACAAAATTCATGCTAAAAAAATAAAAAAAACATTAAAAAAAACTACAGATAAAGTTCAATTTTCTTCATCAAGACATTCATTTCTGTAGTTCACTGCGATTAACAAGAAGAATTTGTTTTTCTCGTAATGATGGCCATGTTGGTCAAAATTAATCGAGGAATCTAACTGAAATAATAAAAAAGAAATATTAATATACAACCCAGTGTGCCTGAAGATTTTTAATTTTTGAATATTTTTTATTGTTCAAAACAATATATATATATATATATATATATATACCTACAAACAACACACACACACACACACACACACACACACACACACACACACACATATATATATATATATATATATATATATAACATACAAATAAAGATAACACTAAACTCCCATTTTACGACTTCGGAATCTGCTGCTACTCTTTTGGACGGTTTTCTTGTTTAAGTTGATGAATGCTGCCGCAATCCATGCCTTCAGTCCATCTTTGTTGAATGGCCAGATATAAAGACTGGGTTCTCCTGCTTGTGTGGCATGGTGTAGAGACCTGTAGGGGTCTTCAACCAGCCACCCGCTTGACACAGAGCAGCACTACCTCCTCAAGGCACCTGGTGTAGGCCTCCGTGTTGAGTTTGAGGCCCTGTGGGAAGAATGAATGGAGGCATAACGTCACCATCATGAGTAATCACTCAAAATACATTCGTAATCACTATTAGACTCATTTAACTCTTTCCGATTCCTCTGCATTGACCTCACATTGACACCTCAACACTCCGAAATGTTTGTATTGGAGCCGCTACTGCGAATGCTAAGCAGTACAGTATGCCATTTCCAAATTTCTGACGGAATGAATTGCAACATGGTGCTCTTTTTCTCACAGATGGCGCACAACTGACTCTACTGTACAGTGCAGGCGACAAGATAACAACAACGTGCATGCTCGAAATTAAAAATATAAAATGGCGACAATTTACACATCGCACCCTCTCTGTCTCTCTCTCTGTCTCTCTCTCTCTCTCTCTCTCTATATATATATATATATATATATATATATATAGACATATATATATATATATATTTTTAAGCGTTTCACCCCAAGCAAGGCGGGAAGCCACTAGGACGCAAGGGGTTACAGGAAATAGCAAGATCAGATAGGAGTGATAGAAGAAAGGATGAGGAGAAGGGTAGTAGATAGATCAAGGCAACTGGAGATGTCGATTGACATTACACTTGAATAGCTGGAAATTATAGCTCACAGGGAAACAGAAGAAGGGAAGGGAGTTCCACAGGCGAGAGGTGCGAGACATGAAGCTATTAGAGTAGAAGAGACGGCTACATTTAGGAGTTTCGACAGTGAAGGGGTGAGAGCGGGATGCCAGCCTCGTAGGGCGCTGGAACTCATGACGTCTGGGAACCAGCGTATGCAGCTCCTATAGATATATATATATATATATACATATATATATATATATATATATATATATATAGAGAGAGAGAGAGAGAGAGAGAGAGAGAGTTAGAAAAACAGTGTTAGTGAAAAGGTGCCAATACGTGGTGATATTTTGTCTAAGAGTGAAGTCAAATGAACAGGTTTATATTTACCTGTATCTCTCAGAACGAAGTGAAGAAAGAAAGAAAGAAAGAAAGAAAGAAAGTTAGTTAGTTAGTTATAGTGAGAAGTTAATTTAGAAAGAAATAGAATGTAGATGTACAGAGACGGGGTCAACACGGGTTTTTTTTCGGTTTTTCGGTTGAGTGGGTGAGAAAAAATATATAATTGCCTTATATCTATCTATTTCTCTATGGGGATCTGTTAAAATCTGAAAAGTGTGTGGACAGAGAAATCAACACTGCATAGAGCAATGGATTTTATACCTTAATCAACCTTTATATATATATATATATATATATATATATATATATATATATGTGTGTGTGTGTGTGTGTGTTGTAGTCGTGTGCTAAAGTTAAGTGTGTTGGAAAATAAAGTAATGCGATATAAAGAAAGAATGAAAGAAATAAGCAAAAGAGGAAAAAGGGAGAGAGTTAGAGAGAAATAGATGAAGAGATACATCAATAAAGAAAGAAAGAAAGAAAGAAAGACGAATATGCAGGAAACCGTTTTCATTTTGCATCTGTTCCTAAAGATTAATTTGAATAATTAGTATCCATATACATTCCTAGACATTTGCAAGATCAAAGAAAGAACAAGAGAGAGAGAGAGAGAGAGAGAGAGAGAGAGGGGGGGGAGAGAGGGGAGAGAAGACAAACGAGAAGAAAATAATGTTGATAGTAATTTGATGGGAAGAGAAAGAGAGAAAGAGGGATGAAGAGAATAGACAGAGAGAGAGAGACAGACAGACAGAGAGAAAGAACGAGGAAAGAAAAGGACAAAGACAGAGAGAGAGAGAGAGAGAGAGAGAGAGAGAGAGAGAGGAGAGAGAGAGAGAGAGAGGAAGGAGAATGGGAATGAGAGAGCCAAATAAAAAGCGAAAAATAAAATAAGAGAGTCGAAGGAAAAAGAAAAAAAAAAGCGAGAAGGGAAGAGGAAAAGAAAAGCTGATAATTAGTGTAAGAAACAAAGAAAGGGTTAAAAACAATGCTAGAGAAAGAGAAAACTATAAAGAGTAAACCAAATAGAGAGAAGAGAGGGGGGAAGAGAGAGAGGGAGGGGGGAAGAGAGAGAGAGAGAGGGAGGGAGGGGGGAAGAGAGGGGGGAGAGAGAGAGAGGGGGGGAAGAGAGAGAGGGGGAAGAGAGAGAGAGAGGGGGAAGAGAGAGAGAGAAAGAGAGAGGGAGGGGGAAGAGAGGAAAGAGACGGAACAACTAAGCCGGGAAAGATAATTCTATGCGTCAGTGAATGCTTGTCTTCAGTGACAAATCCCGAAAAATCTCGTTCTACATACCCCCTCCCCCGCCCCGCCACTACTGCCACGTGCGTGCAAGTTCACTTTGTTTACGTGTCGCGTATATCGAGCTATTGACAGTGAACTAGATTTGCACAATATATTCTGCAGAAACGTATGCTCGCCAAAGGATAGGCATGAACCTGGTAAATGCGTGCATGCGCGCGTCTATCTCATTATTCGTATTCATAGTGGGAATAAGGTAAGGGATCCAATCGTGTTGTTCTTTGTTAGTGAAGGGATTTCGGCCATCGCCGGGGGCTTCTCTACTGTGGCCTTGTGCCAAATAGATCGAAGCTTACTAACGAATATCATTACGGTTGACCGCTTAAGTGTGCAAGTGTCGCATGCCGATTGTGAAAGGACGTTGAGAGAGAATTTTTCACAGAGCGAGTTAGCTAGATAGGATCAGATGCAGACTTTCTCGCTCTCTCTCTGTCTCACACACAAACACATGCAACATACACACACACACACACACACACACACACACACACACACACACACACACACACACACACACACACACACACATATATATATATATGGACAAATTATAGAAGACATCAACAGACTGAGATACGTATGTACGACTTAAAATAGATTGAGGTAGATAGATATATATCATACGCATATATGGACAGTCTGATATATATATATATATATATATATATATATATATATATATATATATATATATATATATATATATATATATATATGCAGATAAATAAGTAGGAGGATAGAGATATATGATAAGATAGATAAGAATAGAATTAGATATATATGATATATATCTATCTATCTATCTATCTATCTATCTATCTATCTATCTATGCCTCTTCATATCTATGTTCATATATATTTGAATTTGCTCATACCTATCTATCTCAGTCAGTTCATATCTATCTATCTATCTATCTATCTATCTATCTATGAAAAGAATGTTACACACACACACACACACACACACACACACATATATATATATATATATATATATATATATATATATATATATACAGATCACTTGGTTCCATGTAATAAATTATTTCACCACAGCCCTTTTAAAACGACTGGGGATCATCAGACTTTACTTCCAAAGGTTGAAACGAAAAATGAAAAGAAATTTACATATTTTTGACGGGCCGTATTAAGCATATGTAAATTAACGAAGTGAGCAAGTGAGGGGGGATAGAGAAGATATGAGTGAGTTAGATATATATATATATATGTATTTTCGAAAACAGATATCTTCCCACTTTCTTATCCGAAATGCAGCCAAAACAATTTCTAAAGAATTAATGGATTATTTTCATAATCCGACATTTTTATTAGTTCAAAAGTTATTATTAGTGGATGTTCGTATTTGAAGTAGACGTCCCATTTATTTTTTATTTTAATTGTTAAACAGTGTGTAATACGTCTATCGGTTTGCGCATTCGAGAAATCTTAATAAGGACAATGTTTTTCATTCTCACTCTCATTTTTTCTCTCTCTTTTTCACACACCCATATAAATAGATATAAGATAGATATGAACAGACTGACCTATATATATATATATATATATATATATATATATATATATATATATATATATATATATATATATATTGATAGATTAGTGCTTATATCAGAATGAGATTGTGTTGATTTGAACAGACATATGTAAATATAAAAGTATGAAAATATACGGATCAGATTGAAATAAATATATAACACACACACACACATGCTCGCGCGCTTGCACACACACACACACACACACACACACACACACACACACACAACCACACACATATATATATATATATGTGAATAGACTGGTATATTCAATCACTTATTGTAAATGAATTTTTATCATTACCTGAAGATTAAGATCCGTTCTTGAATTATTTTTATATTGATTGGCGTTTATATTCGGTAATTGATTGAAGATTAAAGTCTATCATTGATTGTAAAATCTACCGAATCATTGATTGGATATTATAGTCAGCCACTGATTGGCTGTTAATTTCGATCTTTGACTAGGTATTATATTCAGTCATTGATTAGTGATTATATTCAATTCTGTTCTATGATTGATTGAAGTTCTAATTCTATCATTGATTACGGATTATATGCTGTCATATATTGCATGTTAAGTTCATCATTGATAACGTATTATCTTCCATTATTGGAACAAGATGAAATCGAATCATAGGTGATTAATTAGTACCATCAAGTGCGGATTCAGTCACTTATTCGATATTATATGCAATATTTGATTGAAAATTAATTTCATCATTGATTAGTGAAGATATTCAATTAGCGAAAGGACGTGATCTATCTATATATTTTTGTGACTTATATTCCATTACAAGTTGAAGATTATATTAAATCACTGATTGATAAGTAAATTTTGTTTTTGATTGGCATTATATTTATTGGCAAATATAGAAAATAATTTGGAAACTTTTTTTTATTTTTGACATGTTTTGCCCATCAAAGAGCACCATCAAAAAATGAATTTTAATTCACACTTATGTTTAATCCTGTAGTGGATATTACATTATATGATTGATCGGAGATTAAGTAGTATCTTTGATTGGAAATTTGATTCCTTTATTGACTGGGGATTATATTCACTTGTTGATTAGGGATTACATCCAGTAATTAAGAGATTAGATTCAGTTATTAATTAGGGATTAGGATTTAACGTTTAAATGAGTATTATACTCTGACAGTTATTTATCTGACTCTAATCTCCTTTCAAACATTAAATGGAGTCCCCAAGATTATATTTTCTTTCATTAATTGGGAATTATATCCACTCAATAATCAGAGATTAACTTTTATCATTCATTGGAGATTAGATTCAATTATTAATTAGGGCCTAAATTTGATGATTGTGTACCGATTATATTCAATCGGTGATTGGAGAAATTTTTCCGTCAGTGGAGATTATATAACAATGATTGATTGTAGGTTATATATAATTAGGAACGACATTCAATGATTGCATGTTTACGGCCACATCACGTTCAAATACCGGTTCCCGTACGATTACCGAAGTTAAGCAACTTCGAGTCTGTTCAGTACCTCGATGGGTGAGCACTTGTAAATACCAGGTACCATAAACCTTATGTATCTGCTAATTGGAGAGTAGAGTTCCAATTCCGGTCGGGTTCGTCATATTCACTTACGTACAAATACTCTCGGGAGAGGCATGAATCCACCTCTTCTACCCCAAGCTATGGGTTAATTAGTAAAACTTACGTCACTAAACCATTATTATCTTAAAAATATTCTTGCCATCTAAAAATATGTTCTGGCTTTGAATAACATGAATAGGGTTGATAAACCGTAAAAAATGAATCAATCAAATACTGATTGCATTAAGACTATATTCAATCTGACTGATGATTATATTTCGTTATTGATTGGAGATTATGTCCAACTTTTTATAAATTTTTAGATAATACTTAGTCTGTAATCTCTGATTGGTATTATCCTATTCGCTGGTAGGAAACGAAATTTATTATATCCCATCGACTGCACACGACAAACTTACGAGGATGTCGGATTAGTATAAATATTCGAAAACGTTTTAGATTATTAATGTGTTTTTTTATGGTCGCTAATATTCACTTACTATAATCATTCATTTACGCACAAATGCCCTTGGGAAAGGTATAAATCAATCTCTTCTCCCTCCAGATATGGGTTGAACAGTAGGATAGGGTGGGTAGCAACCAATCTACCAACCATAGAAGATATTCGTCCTCCGACAGAAATCGAACCTGTATCGTATACGGAACCGTCATATAGACTGACGTGCCTTTAACCGATTGGGCCATAGAGATTGCTGCCTAAACACACACACACACACACACACACACACACACACACACACACACACACACACATATATATATATATATATATATATATATATATAATAAACAGTATTAAATAACCTGAATGTCCGAGAAATTTTCATAGGCCAGTAAATGTTGTTTAATACTGTTTATTATAAGCAGGGCATTTACTTAAATATTTGTATCGAAGGTCTTCTATCGTTCGCTAGTGGAGGGGGTCGCGAAGGATCCCCTACGCAAGGATCTCGACATGTCGGAGGATGAGCTTCGCTCTCACTGGTCTTGGGCACCAGCGGCGGATTACCTCAGTAACCCTGAGTTTTCGCTTACCTGGCGACTGGCTCGGAATCGGCTGCCTCTCAACGACAAGGCCTTCATATGGGGCTTGGCGGATTTGCCAGACTGCGATCGGTGTGGCCTTGGTCTGAAGGAAACGTCTTCGCACGCCTTCTTCCATTGCCCCCGGTCCGCCCCTTTATGGGACCATGTCGGCGAGCTGACGGCTCGTCTCGCTCCCCGAAAAGCTCGTGCCCATGGATCGCGCATACGCGTGTGACAATGTGTCGCCCCCGTATTCCGGGGTGAAACGGATGGTGTTTCTCACGCTACTAGCCACGGCCCGAATGGTGATATGGACGACGCGACAGGTATAGGTAACTTGCGAGGTATCCGTCTTTCTCATCAGGATCTGAACCGATTCTTTGAGCATCAGCTCAAGATGAAGATCAGAACTGATAGAAAACGCTTGCATTCGACAGTCTTCAGCAAAATGTGGGTGACTGAGGCGAGCTTGGTTCGTGTGAACGGGGCTAGCCTTGATTTTCTCTTTTAGGTCAAGCCTACGCTACATCGGGGTGGCTTCCTGTGGTGCCCTTCCCTTGGTTAGATTAGACAAGCTTTGGTGTACCTAATTAGTGCGAGTAAGTATTGCTCCCGGCCTGCCCCCGGGCCACATCTTTAGTTATGATCCAGCCTGAGATACCCAACCTCCCCAGTTTGTTTTTTGGCCCCCGCCCATTTTTCTATCTCGACTGGGTCAGCCTTATACTTTCCCATGCCCGTATGATTTTTTATCACCTGTTCCCACTCCCTTAGCGAGAGAGCTGCTTGATTTTGTCTCATGGGCAGAATACAGTGGCCTCCCTACATTTTGAGGGTTGGACGGGCCCTACTAACATCAGTTATGTTTAATTTGATTTGTGTTAATATACTTTTGTTTGTTATTGGGGTCATCTCTCTCCCCCCTCTCATTGTTTCACCATAGAATTTTGTACATATGTGTTAGTATCATTAAATTATTAAGACACGGGGCGAGTTTTGTAGGTCTCCCTAGAGTGGATGCGGTATTATGGTGCATGGAGGATCGATTGGCGACGGACAAGTTCTTATGGTGAATGAGTAAATTGTAATGTATGAACGGGTCGTGAATGAAATTAGCTAGGTATAAGATAGTTAGTAAAGACCAGCCTTTTACCCCCCCTCCCCCTTTTCGGCCTTGTGCCACAATTTTGTATTTTATACGAAATAAATATCTATCGATAAAAAGAATACCCGCTCGGCCCGGTGGCGAGGATCAAAGTGTAGTATCTGCGCTTTGTGAGCTGCCGAGTCGGGTGTCTGTCGAACTCTCTGCTTGCAGAGAGGAACCCGGACGAAGCTCCGCCGAAGTGTAGGGTTTCGTTGGGGGAGGTTGACGGAACTGGCCCGCCTCGGCGGGTTTGGATGGTTATTTATTTTTGGCTGGGCCTACGGGCTCAGAGATACCCACATTAAAAAGGCCTTGTGCCACATTCGACCCCGTGGGTGGATTGATAAATACCATCTATAAAAAGAATGTATAAATATAAAAATGTCTTAAAATAATTGTCGGATTTTGTACATTTCATAAAATATATATATATATATATATATATATATATATATATATATATATAGAAACCACGTATACTTTCTTAATATGTATATATAGAAAAAGTTTCAAATTGAAAATTATAATGTTTTATTTTATGAAAGTATTTATTTATTTATATATATATTTGATATTTCAAATTGTCCTCAATTTTTTCATCAGAAATAACTGTTTGTTACAAATAAATTAAAATTACTGTTTGTTAAAAGTAAAGACGCGGACGTCACGTTATATGGAACGTCACTGTTCGGATATTCCTAACTTAAATCTAACTGTCATAAATATTTAAAAAAAAAAAAAACAACCCTTATTCCCCCATACGTCAAAAACAACCCTTATTCCCCCATAGCTAAACACTACAATCAATCAGGACACACATTAGAAAACTGCAAATGTTTATTAATAGATTCCGATTTTACTTCCACATTCACACGCAGAAAAAAAAAACATTGGATTTTAAAATTAAATACACATAAACTAGGGTTGAATAGGGACTTAGGTGTTTTAAATCTTTATAAATATTTCAATAGTTAAGCAATTTTTTTAGATATATAAATTTTTTTTTTTTTTAAATATTTATGACAGTTAATTTATTAGAATATCCGAACAGTGACGTTCCATATCACGTGACGTCCGCGTCTCGCGAAGGACGCTACTTGCTAACAAACAGTAATTTTAATTTATTTGTAACAAACAGTTATTTCTGATGAAAAATTGAGGACAATTTGAAATATCAAATATATATATAAATAAATAAATACTTTCATAAAATAAAACATTATAATTTTCAATTTGAAACTTTTTTATATATATATATATATATATATATATATATATATATATATATATATATATATATATATATAACTTTGACATTACAGAATTAGTATATTGCCTTAAATATACAAAAACGCATTCTTTAAAATATCTTTTTTTTGAACAACACTTCAGAAGAATACGTTGGCACCTTCTTAAATAATCAACATAAAGCAACATAAAATAAATCCATTTTATACTCACTAGGAACTAATATACTTTGATTTATTGTCATGTTCCTTTTCTCCCTTGTTTTAGTAATAAACTAGCAGCATGGCCCGGCGTTGCCTGTGCTTGATTCAAAAATCATACAGCCATCGCTATCAGTTGACTTAAAATATTTTTGCCCTTCCTTGCCTTTAAAGGAGTGCCCTTTGCCGTGGTGATGTTGCTACATGCCTTACTTCTTGCCTATCTCACACTGCGAATTTTTTCTATATTCTATACTAAACGTTACGAAAAAATAACTAAACAAAATGAACACAAAACGATCAGCTTTAAAAAAAGGACTCGTAACTGGAAAAACCGAATGAAAAAAGAATGTTAACAACAAATACTTTTTCACACCCAACCCAGTTCTGCGGAATCAGAATCAACTTCGAAATCACTACAGCAGTAATTGTTTGTAACATTAACCATTTCTTGAAATTTTCAATGTTTGAGTTTCCATTTTCCAGATCGATGGACGCAATTTGATGAATCGATTAGAATTGATTGCATTTAGTTCTTTAATCATTCTTTATAAAATGTGTGAATCATTCTCTTTTACTTCATCCAACTCATTAATATCCTAATTCTTATTGTGTCCTTTTGACACAGTAAATTAGTGTGTATATTTACGAGGGTAGATCAATAAGTCCATAGCCCGGATTTTGATTTGAAAATTTCACTACATAATGTTCGATCTTTGTAATTAATATTAAGCAATGAATTTATTGAAAAATAAACGTTTGTTGTATAAATAAATGCCTCTTACACATTAGGCAACAACCATATTGATGTAACTATATATATTCACATCTATCTAATTGTGTTCATATATATATATATATATATATATATATATATATATATATATATATTATTGCCTTTATATATGAACTAGCAGTATAACCAGCCTTCGACCGGGTCTTTCTTTAGTGAGAATTTTTGTCTTCAAAACTGTCTGGAGCAGTTTAAGTTTAAGTCAGCCCACCCGAAAATCAATATTAGTAACAACAATTGGGTGCCACTGAGGTTACATCCCCAAATAGGGGGTTAAATTTTTGAATGAGGGGGTGGATCTGAAAAGGGCCGTTTTTGCGTTCTCAATCTCATTTCAGCCTTACGCGCTGCAGCAGCTGAAGAGGCGGTTCTCCTCAAGTGTTAAGTCCTTTGATCATCATTTTCAGCCTCGCGCGCAGAAGCGTTCAGGTATGCTCTTCTGGAAACCCGATGGCTGCGTTGATCTTCGGACTCAGTGATTCTGATTGAAGCATTTCGAGAGGCATTTTGAGGCATACAAACTGAACGTTCTAATGTCACCTCTT